GATTGATATTATTGATTGATTCAGGTTTAATAAGGCAAGCCCGCCTTTTCGGCTTTAATGGAAGCCTCGCCACTGGGAAGGACCACGCTCTCACAAAATACCAGCTTAAAATAGTAGTTTAATACTGCTACGCTTCGTATGGTGACTGTAGAGATCCGGAGTGTAGAGATAAATGTAGATGTGTATGGGTCACAGCATCCACTTACCATTAGGTGGACTATGTGCTCGTTTGTCACGATAATTATTAATATTCTGTATAAAAAATATTTATTGATATAATATTGTTACGAGCTTAGGGTTCGTGACAGTAAAAACTGCCGATTGAATTACCAAAATTGACACTTTAATTACTGAATACCAATTAAAATTTAAATCACACTAATAATTATTCACACTTAACACTTTAGTTCACTTTATTTCACTCCGAAAGCTTTGCTCGTATCGCCAATTCAATATTGCCCCGATCGCGGCTTTCAACGGCTTTAAATAGGCCTTTTCCACCGAAGCATCCAGAATATTCCAGAAAATACCTACCCCGACTGACCAGGTGCAGAAAATTCGAGTGTGAGGCTTTCTAGAAAGCTTATTTCCTCCATTCGATACTAGATGGCGCTACTGGGAGAGTTCTAGAAAGATCTTGACGCTCCTATTTCTGCTGCTTGATACCAGATAACGCTAATAATCAGCCGCCGTATACCAGGCGCTAATTACTGCGCAACAATATGTTAACAATATGTTGCGCGCTATAATTAGCGCCCGTTTTGACTGAACTTACAGATTTTTGGAATAATAGTTATTCTTAGGAATATTGTAAGTATATGTCGTGGCCAGATTTTAGAATCGATCACTTCACTGATGCGGTCGACCATTTCATGAAAATGCCAGTTAAAACTCACCATATCATTTAAACATCAATGATATCATGATATCAAAGGCTTAATAAAAATTCCAAATAGAGAAGGGTACTTATATATTTTTCTTGTAAGTACAAAAAATTGCTCATTGTTAGCCAGATTGGGTTAGGTTAGGTTTTTATTGACCGAACTGTGTCGCGTGATTTTGATACTTTCAGGCGGCCACCATGGCCAACGGTTTTGTGGATTTCTGTTAGTGTTACATAATATTTTTATATGGAACTACGAATTATAGGATCGTCAATACTTTCCTTTTTAAGGGTTTAAATATTTCCATAAAGTCATATTTTGAACTCCAATCATAGTCAATTGATTTTCGTTGCGTGGACACTCGCGTTTGCGTGCGTTTTATAACAATAATTGTCATGATGCATCACAATAACAAACCGATATCAGCGCCTTTAACGGTGGTTAATTCACTTATTTTACGATATGATCACTAATGTTTGATCATATAATAAAGTAGCCGTGCGTTTACCTGTTCATGTCGTCAATGGCTGATTATTTATTGACTTGGCTAGACCATATCATGCTGTGGGCGGAAATTTTCTATTTCATGAAATAATTTGTCGATCACATCATTAAGTGATCAATTCTAGATCCAGCTACGACATATACATGCATATATATATATATATATATATATATATATATATATATATATATATATATATATATATATATATATATATATGTCCCAAAATTCAACGATAAGCCAACACCGGAGGATAGACCTGAAAAAAGAAAAAATATATCCCAATTATATTTTAAGTTATATAAAAAAAAAATGAAATTCTTCAGAAATTGAGACCGTTTATGATATTTTTCACTACCATGACCACAATTTTTTAATATTTGTTCCTTTTTTTATAGGTATCCTGAATAGCACTGCTATCTACCACAATTCTCAAAAAATCCAGAATAACTCTTGTTTTATCACGAAAAATAAAGAAACTTATTTTATTCCCAAAATTTTTTGAAGACTTTTACTTTTAACCAACTTTAACTTATCGTGGTGTAAAAAAGTATGAACACTAGTATGGTAAGTTGTTTAAAAAATTGACGCAACTAACCAACATTCCAAAATGGTATAATACTCTAGGAAAACAAGTTATAAAAAATATGGGCCTATTATTTCTAAACTAGGGCCAAATTCCTTAAATTGCAATTGTCAGTAATCACTTTTACTACATGCCCAAAATGGGTTCTTGTTACAATTTCTAGGAATTTGAATGGGGCATACATACCTTAGATGTTAGAGAGAGATAGATAGATCGAGATATTTACGTTAAAAAGAGACAACAACAGGGCAGGTAGAGAAGCTGTTATTATTCTCAGCAAGTCAGTTCAGTACGCTCTGCTCTTTTGTTTACTGCGCACCGTTCTCAATTCAAATTACGTGGCTCTCGTACATACTATCGACTTTTGGCTTGGCTTTTTGGACTGGAATCGACCTGCAAACTTAACTGACCTGGCATTATTTGGACTGGAAGTGGACTACGATTGTGTGTTTTGTGATTTAGAGTTCTGGCGCATTTTGGACTGTTTGGCGTTTAACATGCCGCAACCGTACACACCACAGGAATACGCTAATATGCATTTAATCTATGGAGAATGCCGATGTAATGCTAACGTTGCTAGCAGACTGTATCGAGAAAGATACCCAAATGCTGAAAGATATCCTGATTATCGAGAGTTTATTAATGTGCATCAAGCGTTTTCGGAGGGTCGTATGCCATCCAATAGGAGAAGCGCTGGAAGACCTAGATTGGATCGTGATGAAGAAGTTCTCAATGAGATAGAAAATGATTCGACTACTTCGGTACGTGCCATAGAAGAAGCTACAGGAATCCCGAAAAATTCTGCACATCGAATATTAAAACGTCACAAGCTTCACCCATATCACTACAGGCGTGTGCAGACGTTATTACCGCGGGACTATCCGCTACGAGTCACATTTTGCCGTATGATGCTGCAAAAGCACAGTGAAGATCCCCAATTCCTAGACAAAATTCTGAGGTCGGATGAAAAGAAAGATGTGTATTTAAATGTTCACAACCTACATAGTTGGAGTAATGAAAATCCGCACTTGATGGGACAAGATAAATCCCAATATCAATTCAAGGTTAACCTATGGACCGGCATATTAAATGAAAAAGTAATTGGGCTCTTTGAGTTACAAGGAAACTTAGATGGCAATAGTTATTTAAACTTTTTACAAAATGACTTGCAAGAATTGTTAGACGACGTGCCCTTAAGTGATCTCTAAAACATGTGGTTCCAAAATGATGGTTGCCCAGCACATTATGCCCGTCCTGTGCGAGAATATTTAAATCAAGAGTATCCAGGGCGTTGTATCGGGCGACTTGGTCTTATCTTATGGCCACCCCGTTCACCAGATTTGAACCCCCTGGACTTCTTCTATTGGGGTTGTCTTAAAAACGGGGTCTACTCAAAACCCATTGCGACATTGGACGAGCTTCGTCGAAATATCACTCAGGCTGCTGATTACATTAATAGCAGAAGATATGCAAGACAAATAAAACGATCATTTTTAAGGCGATCTCGTGCATGTATTAATGCTGGTGGCGAACAGTTCGAACATTTGCTATAATGTTAATAACTTAATAAATTACACGTGAAACTGTACCATTTGTTTTGAAATATTAAACATTTTTCAAGAACTAATACTTTTATTACACCCGACCGTCATTTGGCCCCTGTTAAGAAATAATAGGCCCATATTTTTTATAACTTGTTTTCCTAGAGTTTAGGTTTCCTAGTATTTCCTATTATACCATTTTGGAATGTTGGTTAGTTGCGTCAATTTTTAAAAAAACTTACCATACTAGTGTTCATACTTTTTTTTACACCACGATAAGTTAAAGTTGGTTAAAAGTAAAAGTCTTCAAGAAATTTAGGGAATAAAATAAGTTTCATTTATTTTCGTGATAAAACAAGAGTTATTCTGGATTTTTTAAGAATTGTGGTAGATAGCAGTGCTATTCAGGTTGCCTATAAAAAAAGGAACAAATATTAAAAAAATTGTGGTCATGGTAGTGAAAAATATTATAAACGGTCTCAATTTCTGAAGAATTTCATTTTTTTATATAACTTAAAATATAATTGGGATATATTTTTTTTCTTTTTTTCCCCGATTAGTCCGGGGCAGGTCTATCCTCCGGTGTTGGCTTATCGTTGAATTTTGGGACATGTTGTATATACATAGTAGATATGTTGTACATATTTATACATATATATGTCGTAGAATATTAAGATAAACCGAATTTTCGGAAAGAATCCAGGGATATCGCGAAAACACGGGCTATTAGACAATGTCTATGACATTTCTCAATCTTACTGAAAAAAGAAATTGCAATTTTGAATATACTTAACTCTGACTGGCTTGATTTTGGTTTATAGGCGTATAGTTTATGAGTAATGATTTTTTTGTAAAATGATCATCTCATTTTTCACACAGGAATATTGACCCAAAGTTACAGTTTACCAAGTTACAGTTATTACGTGGAGTCGGGGCGTGCTGATTCCGTTTTAGAACAGATTCGACCAATCATCAAATTATCCGTGTTTTCGCGATATCCCTAGATTCTTTCTTTTTCTTACCATTTATATATAACTTATTCTGAACTTATTTGCAAATTTGGCCGTATATTGCAAAATAAATTATTTATACGTGGTAGAGCCATGCTGCACTTATATTAGAAGTATAGTTGTAGCACGACTGGGTCGGCTCGACCGAGGAAGGACCACGCTCTCATAGAATACCAGCGTGAAACTGTAGCTTAATGCTGCTGTGTTTCGTATGGGGAGTGTAGAGAACCGGAGACCCTTTTTACTGGAAACGAGGCATTCCCTCTTAGTCCTCACGGGTGACAACGTATCTGCATTTTGATTCGTAATCGATGATAGATGTAGATTTTTATGGGCCACAGCAACCTCTTACTATCAAGTAGACTGTGTGCTCGTTTGTCACCCTATTCTATAAAAAATTGTATATTATTCTAAATAATGTATTACATAAAATGTGTGTTAAATGTGTTATATACAATGGATCTTTGTGAGCAGTTGGAGGAGCTGTGCTCGCGGACGCACCTGCTGTTCGTGGACTGCAGCGGCGCGCTGCGGGACTGCGGCGAGCTGCCGGCCGGCCAGGGCGACGCGCCCGAGCTGCTGCAGTACCGGCGCGAGGCGGCCGGCCGCCAGCGGCGGCCCGATGCGCCCACTGCGTCGCCCGAGGTATTTCTGTTTTGTTTAAGAAATCAAACTGAAATTACAAGTTAATTTGGGATTAGTTGTGGATATTATTATTTGTGTACGTTGTATTTAGAATCGATACTTTTTCTAATTTTAATGATAAAATATTGAGATTATTCTGAAAATAGTTAAAAAGACAATTGAGTCTATGTAGTGTTGTGTAGTTATATATTGAAATGATTTAGTTTATTGGATATAGTTACGCAAAAATGATTTAACTTACAGGTTTATAGTGTTAACATTATTTATTTTGCACAATGTGTGTGTTTTATAGTTGCTATAAAAATATAGTAGAACACATTAACCATTTTAAGGATGTTTTAATGTTAAATTGACAATGGATTAGTTAATATTTTTTTATGTTCTATGACAGAATAGATTCTAAGAGTTAGTTTTAGAGAGGTAATTAATAGTTTTGATTCTACTGTGGGTTGATTTTTTTGTGTTACTACGTGCAATTAATGATTGCTTAAATTACGTGAACACACATTGAATAAAACTATGTACGGATTTTATTGTGTTTAATTAACTTATTTTTGATTCCCGATGTTTCGGGTGCATTACTACAGCACCCATGGTCGAAGACCTATAAAAATCCGCGTGAAAAAACATACAGCGGACGTGAAGCACCGACGCTCCTCTCTGCAGGTCGTCAGGTCGTCGCAGGAAGTCTGCAGTCTATGAACATGGTCAAGATCATCCCCACCATTACATCGGATTTGATAAACCACAAATCCTCGTAAAAGAACATTGATTCCTACCAAAGATGATATGCGAGACTATTGAAATTTAAATCATCCTAATTTCAATAGAGAAGATGGGATGAAGATGATCTTCTAATTAACAAAATTAAACCCAAATCCAAGCATACCACTGCAAGACTTCAAGATTCTGTAAGCTCGTTCTGCATAGGTCAGACCAAAATTTAATATTCAAAAACTGAAGGTGGCCGGGCTAACTATGACATTGGGACGTCATACATCGTCTCAGTCCCCCCCGTGACCATGGGTGCTGTTAAGCACTCGAAACGTCAAAAATTTAAAATAAGTTAAAGTAGTTAATTAAACGCGATGAAATCCGTAAATAGTTTTATTCAATATGTGCAATTATTCAATGTTTAGTATGTGGGTTGATAGGGTAGCGGTGCGGGTGGAGCGGAGGGGGAGTGGTGCGTAGTGGCGGCTGGCGGCGCGGGCGCGGGGGCCACGCGCGCCCTGCTGGCGCTGCGCGGGCGGCTAGCGGCGGCGCGCGTGGCGTGGCGCACGGGCGCGGCGGCGGCTGCGCGGCGCGGGGCGCGGCTGGGCGGCGAACGGCCGCGCGACGCCGACGCGGTGCTCGAGCCCGCGCCCGCGCCCGAGCCGGCCGGTGCGGAACGGCGCGCGCCCATGTCGGTACCGCGCTGCGCGCTGGGTGCCGTGGCGCTGGCCGGTCGCTTGCTGGTGTGCGGTGGCTACGACCGCGCGCGCGTACTGCGCTGTGCCGAGGAGTACGACCCGGACACAAACCGCTGGCGCGCGCTGCCCGACATGCGCTGCGCGCGTGCGCGATTCCCAGCCGCGCGGTTGGGCGATACAGTATATGCGCTGGGCGGCAGCGACGGGCACGCTGAGCTGGACTCGGTGGACGCGTTCCGCGCGGGCGGCTGGGTTGCGCGCGCTCGACTCCCGCTGGCCCGCTCGCACGCGGCCGCGGCGGCCGACGAGGCGCGTGGGCGGTTGTACGTGGCGGGCGGCTGGGCGGCTGGCCGCAGCCTGCGCCAGGTGCACGAGTACGACCCCGCCACCGACACCTGGACCGACGCGCCGCCCCTCAACGTCGGTAACTATGCGTTCCCGTTCACACTCGCAATCGATTGAGAAAAACGGTCGTTTAACCAGGGGCTACAAAACTTCAATATATAGGCACTTTTTATATGTAGTACTTTCTTTATTTATATTAATTTTTTTTATTATTTATTTTATAATGATTGATATAATATATATTTATTAAGTATTATTAAAAAGTTATGTAAAAGATCCCTATTGAAAAATCATCTATTGTTATAAAGTACTTTATTCATTTAACGACAAAAATCATTAATTTATAACACATATAAAGATTCAAGTGATAACGACACCGAATAAGTACGTACTTATTCAAAAGATAAAACTTTATTTTCAATCCATACTTCCATACTTATATAGAGTCCGCCATCTAACTTTTTTTTTCAACTAGTGCTTATTTCGTGAATGGCAACACTTAGCTCATGTCTAATTTGACAGATAATTAGTTTTATCCTTCCGCTGAACGAATATGGTTGTGTATACGCTTGAACAACGCTGGGAAATATTGCGACATTACTTTGAAAATCATGGTAATGTTGCAGAATGTGTGCGAAAATTGCGTACGGATTTTGGAAGAAATGAAGCACCGTCAGCTCCGTATGTTCGTTACCTTGTGAAAAAAGTGAAAGAAACTGGCATCCTCATCGATAAACCAACGCGTGAAAAGCCAAAAACAGTGCGTACACCCGAGAATATTGCTGCTGTGGCCGAAAGTGTGCATGAAACGCCATCAACATCAGTTCACCGTCGTTCTCAACAATTGGACATTTCGGAGACATCATTGAGACGAATTTTGCGTAACGACCTTGGTATGACGCCGTACAAAATTCAATTGGTTCAGGAGTTGAAGCCAACTGACCATCCAATACGTTTTCGCTTTGCTAAGTGGGCCTGCGATCGACTTGCAGAAGATGCGGATTTTGCCAAAAAAATCATCTTTTCAGATGAAGCTCATTTCGAACTTGGCGGGTATGTAAACGAGCAGAATTGTCGCATTTGGGGCACAGAAAACCCGCACGCATTAATCGAAAAGCTGGTGCACCCAAAACGAGTCACTGTTTGGTGCGGATTTTGGTCCAGAGGCATAATTGGGGCATTTTTCTTCGAAAATGAGCAAGGTGTGGCCGTTACAGTCAATGGCGATCGTTATCGGGCCATGTTGAACGAATTTTTGTTCACAGAAATTGAAGAGGAGGATATTGGCAACATTTGGTTTCAACAGGACGGCGCAACGTGCCACACAGCCGACGCTACACTTGATGTTTTGCGCCCTGTTTTTGAAAATCGCATTATCAGCCGCAGAGCTGATGTCGTTTGGCCACCTCGGAGCTGCGATTTGACACCGTTGGACTATTATTTGTAGGGTGCCGTCAAAGATAAGTATTACGCCGACAAGCCAGAGACAATTGACGCTTTAAAGGACAATATTCGTGAAGCCATTGGTTAAATACAGCTGCACACAATCGATAATGTACTCAAAAATTGGACCGATCCTGTAGGCTACTGCATGGCCAGCCGAGGCAGCCATTTGAATGAAATGTTTGATGAAAAATTTCCATCATTAACCGGAAGGATTGTACTTTCAAATAAAAAAAGAAATTTGAAAAAATATTTAGTAGTTTTTTTTTAATAGCATTTAAAAAAAAAGTTATTTGGCGGACCCGCTATTATAAATGCGAAAGTGTGTTTGTTTGTTTTGTTTTTTTTGTCCTTCTTTCACGTCGCAACAGAGCGTCGGCATGGCATGAATTTTGGTTTGGGGATAGTTCGGTGGCTGTAGAGTGACATAGGCTACTTTTTTTCCGCGGAAAAACATCTCATTCCCGTGAGAAAATCGAATATGTTGCACAAGTTTGTCCTTCTTTCACGTCGCAACAGAGCGTCGGCATGGCATGATTTTTTGTATGGGGATAGTTCGGTGACTGTAGAGTGACATAGGCTACTTTTTTCAGCGGAAAAACATATCATTCCCGTGGGAAAATCTAATATGTTGCAAAATTAAATTCAGCTAGGTGGCGCCACCGTGATAGAGATGGGAGGTCAGAATATCTGGATTATTATGTCTTTACCAAAATTAAGATAAAAAATGTATGGATCTGTATTTTTCCACGTAGGACCGGGAAGAGAGCGACAACAAACATAAAATTGACCAGCTGATTTTCTTCAAACGTTTTGGTGCATTGTAATTCACAGAATAGGCGATAACCTCGCAGACGATATTAAGTAATCCGTTGATGCTCTGCCTACCCCGCAAGGGTTACAGGCGTGATTATAAGTATGTATCAGAAATACTATCACCACCTGTCACGCTTTCACCCTTAACTATTACTTAACTGTTAGTAATGATTTTTTATATTTACGCGAACACTACACATTGAAATAATACTAGTTTTTACGGATTTTATCGCGTATATTTAACTATAAATACCCGACGTTTCGAGCGCTTTACAGCACCCATGGTCATGGGGGAAGTGGATGTTCAACATCCAAATTTCATAGTTAGCAGCGGTTACCATAGATAAAAATTTTACTTTTGTTCCGATCTACACAGTTCTTAGTAAGCCTTATTAATAAGCCTTAGTAATATTTATTGAACGGAAATGAATACAGTTCTTATATGTGGTTATGAATGAATCGGTATTAAAATAAGAAAAATTGTGCAAAATTATAAGAAAAATATTTTTTGAGAGTTCTTATTAACTAACGTATACATAGTTTAAATTGATTCCGCTAGATGTCGTTACTAGGTTTTTAAAACGCGGTAACGAAATGTTTCCTGACATGTACTTTACTCCCGCCGTTGAGCCGCGCGTCAACTTATAGTGCATACGGTACCTATACGCTTAAATTTTTTCTATTTTGTAGCTTATTCGACTACCTGCTTTCGATTCCGAATGTTTGTTATTTGCTTTGTGATTTGGTTAAGGTTGAATGGATTTATATTGGCTTTCATTTTCGGATTTGTCTATTTTCTTGGATCGGTTTTGTTGATTTGGTTGGTATTCCTTTATACATATTTAGACTCTGGCTTTGATTTTGGATTTTGTTTATTTAGAACCGTGAATTGGTTTTCGTTGTTTTAGGTTGTTTAACAATATTTCAAAGGAATATTTATAGTATAGATAGTGTATACGGTACCTATACACTTACTTCTTTTTTGTTGGTTATATTTATATTGACTACTGCTTTCGATTTGGGTTTTCTGCGATTGGTTTTGTGATTTGGTTTAAATTGATTCGATTTTTTTTGGCTAACGTTTTCGGATTCGTGTTGTGTCTTGAATTGGTTTTGTTGTTTTGATTTTAAAAAATATTTAAAAGGAAATTTAATTCCTTTTAGGTATTTTAACGTTTTTTTTATAAATAGGTTTTTTGTTACTTCATAATGCCTCGCAAACGTAAGTCCAGCCTTTCAAGAGTATCTTCTCAAAGACAAGCGAAAAGATTAGCTCGATCGCTAGAATCTTTCGAAGATGCTGAACTGACTGAGGCAAGAACAAGCAGAGCCTCAGGCTGCTTTTAGAGCATCTGAGACACCTTCTCAACGTCAGCAAATGCGTCTTGAACAAACAGAGCGTCAGGCTGCTTTAAGAGCTTCCGAAACACCTTCTCAAAGTCAGGAAAGGCGTCTTGAACAGGCAGAGCGTCAAGCTACTTTAAGAGCTACTGAAACACCTGCTCAAAGTCAGCAAAGGCGTCTTGAACAGGCAGAGCGTCAAGCTACTTTAAGAGCTACTGAAACACCTGCTCAAAGTCAGCAAAGGCTATTCGAACGTCAGGCCGCCTTAAGAGCCGCGGAAACACCTGATGAAACTCAACACAGACTCATTGAGCAAGCTGAACGTCAATCTACTATAAGGGCATCTGAAACACCAGAACAGACACAGGCGCGAAGAGTTGCAAATGCACAGCTCCAAGCTGAACGTCGACAAAATTTTCAAAGAAACAATTGGTCGATTTTCAATGACGCAGCATTCAATTATGATCCGTTGATTGATTATAAAAATCACAGGTAGGTTGTAGTTGTCATCAGATGCCCTTGGTCGTGTGTATACCGTCCATGTAACTAATTTTGAATGTTTCTGTTTTAATTGCTGCTGCACCATGTTCGGGGTCCTACAGGATATAAAGACCTTAAAACTGTCAACGGTCAGGAATGCGCAACTTATAGAGAAGCATGTGAAGCTCTGCATCTTTTAGAAAACGATAATCACTGGGATGAAACCATGGAGGAAGCTGTGCAGTGCCTGCACCAGCCAAAATTAGGGATCTTTATGCAACTCTCATATCATCTTGCGGGCTATTTAATGCACATGAATTGTGGGACAAATATAAAGAGTATATGGCGGAAGATATTTTGCGAAGGTTACAGCAGACACACGCGAACATGACATACAATGAACACATTTATAATGAAGCACTTGGAAAAATTGAAGATAAAGTAATGGCAATGGTAGGCAAAAAAATTAAGCGACTTTGGAATGATAAGCCCTCAGCGAACAATCGAAAATGAACTAAGTGATGAAATTATACGTGAAACAAACTACGATATACCAGCTTTGCAGCAGCAAGTAGCCGAATTTGTACCCCGCTTGCTTCCCAAACAAAAACGAGTTTTTGACAAAGTATTATGACAAATCCAATCTGGAAATGGTGCACTTTTCTTTTTAGATGCCTTTTTTTATAGGATAGGGTGACAAACAAGCACACAGTCCACCTGATAGTAAGTGGTTGCTGTGGCCCATAGACATCTACATCTATCCTCGATTACGAATCAAAATGCAGATGCGTTGTCACCCGTGAGGACTAAGATGGAATGCCTCGTTTCCAGTAAACAGGGTCTCCGGTTCTCTACACTCACCATACGAAATACAGCAGCATTAAGCTACTATTTCACGCTGGTATTCTGTGAGAGCGTGGTCCTTCCCCGGTCGAGCCGACCCATTCGTGCTACAACTATACTACTAATATAACTGCAGCATGGCTCTACCACGTA